TTTATTATTTTTATTATTTTATTATTATTAAGTATATAAATTTTATATTATATACATTTATTATAAATTTGTTTTGAATAAATATCTTGCAATTTATAAATTATTAAATTTAATATAAATTTATTTTGATATTATTTTGATATTTATAGTATATATATAATAAATTTATTTATTTTAATTTAATATGTAAATAATATTAATTTTATAATAAAATTTATAATAAAAGAATAAAAATATACATGATTTAAAACTAAAATATCTATCTTCCTAAATATTGTGTACATTTATATTTATATATTTATATATCTTTTTTTAGTTTATCCATGAATTAAACTGTCAATTGAATTAAATTTCATGATATCGCGCAGTTTTCAAAATTTCTTGAAGCTCATGCCGGTAAACATTCTTTTCAATTTTTCATATATATTTACAAATTACATAACACAACATAAAACAAAATAAAAGAAGTTATTTTTACATTATTATTATTACTACCATAGTATTGATAATTTTTTAATATTTTGTGTATACAAACGCAGTCATGCCGCCAAAACGAAGCCGAGTTTTAAAGGTTAGATTAATATATAATAGAATATATTCATTTTATTACAAATTAAAGATAATTTATAAAAAATATTTTAATTTTATTTTCAATTAGTCAGACTCTAAAGAAATTAAAAATAAAAATAAAAATAAAATATCAAAAACAGAAGAAACGCCAAATAAAAGATCTAAACGCAATACAGATCATACTGAAGAACCCTTAGCAAAGCGTGCTAAAATAGATGTAAAATCAATTATAAATAAAACAGATACAGACTTGAATGAAATTAATTTTGATTGTTTAAAATTAAACGCAACAGGAAATAAATATAATTTAAAAATATCTAGTTGGAATGTTTCTGGCATAAGAGCAGTAATAAAAGTATGAAAAATCATTATTGTATTTTATATGTAAAAAAAATTTTATATTATATTATTATTATGTTCATTTAGAAAAATGGAATAAAATATATTGCAAAGGAAGATGCAGACATAGTTGCATTGCAAGAGACTAAATGTGATTCCAATAAATTACCTGAAGAAATTAGATTAAATGGATATCATTATTATTTTCTTGAGAGTATAAATATTTATAATTAATTATAAATTTTTATTTACAATTATATTTTATATTTATATTTATTATTAAAAATAGGTAAAAAATCTGGATATTGTGGTGTTGCATTATTCACAAAAGAAAAACCAATTGATGTAAAATATGGTTTAAATAATTCTGAATTTGATAATGAAGGTAGATTAATCACTGCAGAATATCCAAATTTCTACTTAATTAATGTTTGTAAGTTCTTTAGATTTTATATGAATATAAATCTATGTATAGTTTTATATTATATTTTTTAATTATGCAGATGTTCCTAATGCTGGTCAAAAATTAGTAACATTACCAAAAAGATTAAAATGGAATGAAATTTTTAAAACATATATAAGAAATCTAGATGACAAGAAACCTGTCATTATTTGTGGTGATATGAATGTTGCTCACAAAGAAATAGGTAGAAATTTATTTAGTTAATTTACAAAATTATGTAAATTAATTTTCTAATTTATTTAGATCTCAGAAATCCAAAAACAAATACAAAAAATGCTGGATTTACTAAAGAAGAACGAGATGGTATGACAGATTTCTTAGCAACAGGATTTGTGGATACATTTAGAGCTTTATATCCTGATAAAACAGATGCATATACATTTTGGTCATATTTTGCTAATGCACGTAGTAAAAATATAGGATGGTAAGTATGTAAAAAAATTTTTATTAACATTTTAAAATTATTTTATTATTTTTAATTTTCTTTTATACAGGAGATTGGATTATTTTTTAGTATCAGAACGAATTAAGGATAATGTTTGTGATAATGTTATAAGAGATAAAGTATATGGCAGTGATCATTGTCCTATTGTACTTTATATCAACATATAATGAAAAATGGAATATTTTATAATTAAATTATATGTAATTGTGTATTTAAATAATTAACTTTGATGTATTTAACATATTTATCTTATCTTTTAAAAATAAAACTTGATCCAAAAAAAAAATTTATGATTTGTTGATATAAATAAATTTATGAAAAATAAATATTTCTTAATCTAAATCTTATTTATTTTTTTATGTTTTCATTATGTTAAATGTAAAATTATGTTTGAATAAATTCAAAATATTAATTTATTATAAATTTGTCATATTTATATTATATTTTTTTTGAATTCTAACCTACATATTTTAAAGTATTTGATAGTATTTCATCTTTATTACATAAAACTATAAAACTTACGATATTTGAACATAAGATTTAAAAAAAAATGCGTAATATAATATATTCGAATTCTGTATTTTCGAATATATTTACGAAATAAAGATAATTGTAATAAAGATAAAGCGGTAAATTTAATTTTAAATGAAAATGACATCCATAACAGGCAATGACATCAAATTATATAAATATGAAAGTTTCTTGTACTTTTTATTGTGGACGAGTGCAGTATTATATTCTATTTATAATGTATTTTTAATTAATACTTGTAAGAATTTAAACGTATATTTTATATATATGTATAAATTTTTTATATTATAAAATTATATATTATTTTTAGATTTTATTAATTATGATGATTTATATGGTGATTTTGCACCAGGATGGAAATGGATTGGAAGGAAACAAGATATTTCTGATCAAGAATGGAAAATATGGATACCATTAATAATAAGATTAATACCTTGGTTATTTCTTCATCATTTTATTAGTTGGGTTGTTAAGATTACATCAAATTTTGTGGTTTGATATTTTTATCTTTCTTTCTTATTTTATAATTCATCCTTTTAATTAATAATTTAATTTGATGAATAACAATATATTTTTTCAGCTATTGTGTTGTTGGTACATCTTTATATCCATGTTATTTTTGTATTTTTATATTGGAATATTGGGCATGTTATGTGCATTAATGCAACCAAGTATATTATATATTTTAACATATAAACGTAACACATATACTATATGGATAATAAATATATTATTTTTATTTATAATACATTTTTTAAAAATTCCGGATGGTTTCTTTCAAAATATATTTAAATTTAATGATGAAGAACATTATATTTTAACTCTTATAATGTGTTGGATTCAATTAAGAAGTATCAGCTATTGTATAGATAATATCAAATCACATTTAGAAAATAATTATGATAATATGCTTTTCTTTGTACAAAATTTTCTATATAAATTAGCATATTGTTTATATTTGCCTACATTATCCTTAGGACCATTAATTTTATATCATGAATTCATTAATTCTGTATGTATAATATTTTATTTAAAATATATATTTATTTAATTATTATTATAATAACAAATAAAAAATATATTTTTATATTTTTGCAGGTAATAGAAACATCTCAATTTTTGAAACTTGCAAATTTTG